GAGAGTTCTCTCCATTTCTGGGATCTGGGGAAGTGTCTCTCGTGGGTGTGAGCAATGGAGCAGAAACTGCCTGGCCACGCCGGGCCCTGTGACGCGTGGCTGAGGAAATCCCATGCAGCTTGTTGTGGGAGATGTGCAGATCTCTAGCCTGTGCTGCTCTGGGTTGGCTGCTCCACACAGGCAAGTCAGAAGGCAGCTGTACAAAGCAAGTCCCGGTGGCTCTATTTCCACACTGGGAGTGAGATGCAAGAAAGGGCCAGTCTGGGGGCAGCACAAAACTGCTCCAGCAGGAGCAGGATGCCAGCTAGAGGCAATGCCACATCTGGAGCAGAGGTGACTGGCTTGGTCTGCTGGCACAGCTGAGGCCACTCAGCTCCATGCCCTCTGAATGTGGCGGGGGTCCGTATGCCTTCTCTACAGGAGCAACAGAAGGATTGGGCGCTCAATTTGAATGGGTTTGATGTGGAAGAAGCCAAGATCCTCCGGCTTAGTGGGAAGCCTCAGAATGCCCCAGAAGGTATGCAAGGTTTGGGATGAGCTGTGATGGGCCGGGGCTGGGCACCGCTCAGGGCGAATTGCTCAAAACCAGGGCTCCTTACAGCCCCTGACTGGAGACCTTCCCAAACAGGCCACACACCAGTTGCACCGAGCACTTCAGCTGCCTATCTGGCCAGCAGGAACCTCACGAGCAAACCCCTCATACAGCCCATCTCTCCCTGTGCCCCAATCAGCCCCAGGCCTGCACACCAGTGTGGGGTTATAGAACCCGATCTCACCTCCCCCAAACAGACCCTCCCGATCCCAAAGAACCAGCCACAGGTCCCTGGTCAGTTTACACTCTGGATCTTACCCGCAAGAGCCCGCCAGGCCAGGCCTTTAGAATCTACAGTCGAAAGGTTTATTAACAAGAGAAAGAAAAGGTGGAGAGTGAGGTTGTTGGGGAGAATTCATCACGTGCCCCAGGCACCCAGTTCTTGGTGCAGGCTCTTAGCAGAGACGTTACAAACTGCTAGCTCTGGCGTACGTCCTATGTCAGGATGGGTCGGCAATCCTTCCTGGCCCGCTGTCCCCGCAGGGCTGCATCTGGGATCAGTAGCAAGACTGAAGATAAGATGGAGCCCACCTCATGGTGTTTTATATTCACTCCTGGTGTCTCCCAAGCTGGAGCTGATCACATGGTCTAGTGACCTGTCTGTGTTCCACATGTCGGCAGCCATTATGCCCTGGCTGGTTTGCAGGCTTCCAGACACATTCCTCAGGTGTGTGGGCCTCTCTGTGAGCCACAGTCCCTGGAGCCAGGCTAATTAGCACAGTCACGGACTGGCCAGTCCTTCCTCACACCCGGCAGCCCAGACCCACCGCTCTGTCTCAGGCAGAGCCCCTTCACATAGCAAGCCCAGAGCCCATATGCATAACTCCCCACACAGACATCACACACGCACATGAGTAGCGCACACGGAATCAGCAGAACAGAAGCTTTTGTTTGACACCTCACATGGCCGACTTTGTATACACTTGTGGGGCAAACACCCCCCATGGGTGCAGCAGTGGTCTGGCTGCGCCCCTTAAAATCCAGTAATGTGACACTAGGCAAGGGGGCAGTGAGGCCAGGCTGCTCCAA